GGTTGGTGCAAAATAATAGGGATATGTCGAAACACATTTCGTCGTTATAGCAAGTGCAAGTCGGACGGGGTCGTCCGTGGCCGTCATGGTCGATGGGGATTGTTGAACCCGAGACCGGAGTATGTGAGCATGCTGGCTCGTGTGACAAGGTTCGTGGAAGAACATGGAGATGCTATGCCTTACGAAATGGTTGTGAGGGGGACCTCACAACGACCCAAAGTTAGGCTCCCTGCTTATTTCACGAAGCTCCTTGTATACGAGTCTATCAAGGCGGACTTGGAAGCGGCGGGTCAGACCGTCGTTTCGGAGCAAGTCTTCTACTTCATATGGAGGAAGTACTTGTGGCATGCCGACCTTGCCGTCCAACTCGTTCACAAAGTGTGGCGAGTGCGTCCGCCTTAGACAGGCCAGAGACAACACCTTCCTCCTTCGTGACCGTAGGGATTTCGATGAAAAGCACCGCAAACACCGACTAGATCAGGTCGCTCACCGTACGGATTACGCTGACTGAAAACTTTGTTCCATTTTGAACCCCGTGGAATACCTCTGCCTTATAGTGGATGGAATGGATCAGAAAAAGACAACCATTCCTCACATTGGCATGTATAATTACTCCAAGGATCATCGACACGACATGATGATGAAAACGAACCTGACCACGGTCGTAGCTCACGGCAGGAAACCGTCCATTTATGTGTACACGCATTTGCCTTTCTATGCGCACGGTTCCGATGGCACCATGACGTGCGTTATGCGGACTCTATGTGAGTTGCAGGCGTCGGGACAGAAATGGCCACGCCACCTCCGCATTCAGGCGGACAACTGCTGGAGGGAAAATAAAAACCAATACCTTATGTGTTTGGCCTCTCTTCTGGTGAAATTCGGGATTTTCGAAGATGTCGAAGTGGGGTTCATGCTCGTTGGCCACACGCATACCGACATAGATGCGACTTTTAGTGTTTTCTCGAAGAAACTGAAGGACAACGATGATTACACCATGAAGCAGTTGTTCTCGCTTATCGAGTCGTCGCACAAGATACCGCCGAAGTGCATTGAGCTCGATCACATTGCCGATTGGCGCCGGGTAGTGGATCGATACGTCGACAGAACCATCGTCGGCGTATCGAAACCGCACCTCTTCAAATTCTTCATGCATGACGGCAGTCCCGTCATGGTGTACAAGAAGTATTGTACCGATGCGGAATGGATGCCGGAAGGCAGACCAGTTCACTGGTTCCCGGTTGTCGATGGCCAGTATGCAGGCCCTACCTCCCCTCCACAGCCATGTGTTATTCCCCGTGTCGTTAAAGACGATTTTCGGATGGCTCGTGACAGTGTCCAAAAATTTGTGGACGTCCTCGAACAGCATAGACACATGTGGCAGACATATAGGAAGGAGGAGGTCGACAAGCGGGAGGATGCTTTGTCTTACTGGAAAGCCATCTTCGTCGAGGCGGACGACATGATCCAAAAGCAAAAGAAGAAGGAGATGGAAGAGGGTGAGGAAAAGGATGTCCTCGGGGCGGACGAGCCGGAGATCTACCCTCACGCCTTCTGGCCACAATCAGTCGAAACTGTGGACGAAGTTCAAAAAGCCGATCCTTCTTCGCCAGATGCTTCGCTTATATATGTAGGACCGAGGGCGGGCCGTCCAAAAGTGGACTTTGACCATCGGCGCCATATAAGCAAAGGTGATTTTCTGATTTTTAGGCCGCCTGGTGAGGAACCGTCTCAAGGTGTCCCGTTCTGGGTTGGCAGAGCACAGTCTAAGGTTGTGGACGACCGTTCCTCACCGCATTTCGGTTGTTTACGTATACAGTGGTGGATGCCTACAGGTCACTCATCCGATCTTCGCGAAAGGTACTCTGGCGCTTGGACGAAGAGGTGGAAACTTTCCACTTCGGACGAGGAACAATGGCAACACGCCGAAACCGTGGCTTATTCTTGGAGAAGACCTTTTCGCAAAGGGACGGATGAGACCAAATTCGTGACAGGCCTTGCAATACCGACATCCGTTTGCGAGAAAGCGCTTGTGGCCTTGGGTGACGACTGTCTTTCCGGTCCGTCCGACGTGCCCATTTAGATAAATGCAAACTGATTCGGATTTGGTAGCTACGAACTCCACTAAGATAATGACGAGATGTGAACTGCGAAATAATTCCGGTTTCTTGTCCTGCAGGATGCATGACGACGACACACCATCGTGTGACGTTGTATATGAGACAACGTCCTATGAAACCTCGTCGTACGCGAGAGAGTATTCCTTTTCGATCGAGAATGTGGACACAGATCTTATCATCATGAACAAATGCATTTGGGCACAACAAACGCTCAATCTTGACAGCGATTATCTGCATATCGAAGCTGGGGCCGGCCTCGATGGTTACATTGCACCCGAAACACGTGTTGTTGATGGACAAACTATAATAGTTCGTGATAGAGGATCAAATATGTGGTACCTCTACTGGAGTTTAGAAGAAGTCAAACTTTTGGAAGTTTCATCCTGTCAGGAGCAGAAGATGGACGTCGAGGATATGGTAGATGACTGGAAGTCGCTGCGCTTCGAACAAGAGTGGGGTTGTACGGACGAGCGGCATGCTAAACTTTGTGCATGGTACTGCATCGAGAAGCCGCAGTTGCGTTTTCCTGTGATCATAGACTACCATGGCCGAGTTCGTCTGTTCAACCGTGACACCCCTGTGCTGACTCTTTTCACGGTGGCCAGCTTTGTGGTAAGCAAATGAGAGCTTTCTTCCTTGTGAGGGAAGACTTTCGCGAGCCCACGTCCGTTGGTGCTCTCGAGCACTTCCGTGAACGATTCGAAATAGATCCTTCGCTTGCAAAAGAGTTGAATCAAAGGGTTGACTGTTTGGTGCATGCCCAACTTCACTTCCTTTTCGGATTGTGTGATGACATATTATTCACGTTGGAACACAAGGACAACTGCAATGACTACACTCTACGAAAAGTTTCGCATCACTGTTCGGGTGTCCAAACATTTGAATTCGTAGGGGGTAGGCGGAGACAGATCTACGACTGTCCTTACTGTGAGGATGGACACTTGTCGCCATGACCTGCTATGTGAGACAACTTCGAGTTAGTTCGCACTTTGCTGCTGTACTCATAGGACGACCTCGCCGTTCATCGACACCATCGATGCAGGACTTGCGCTGATTAAGAGAGTAGTCTGACCGTTCCACCCAATAAGAGAGTAGTCTGACCGTTCCACATGAACGACGTGTTGGAGATGAGTCGAAGTTGAGCGGTGGTTGCAGGACTTGTGCTCAGTTGCGAAGTGCGAATCTACTGTCATTTATTTTCCAATCGTCGGCGGCAGTTGCAGGACTTGCGTTGATTTGCGAAGTGCGAATTTACTCTCACTTATCGACCCACATGAATGACGTGTAGAAAATAAGTCGGCATTAGACGACGGTTAGAAAACTTGCGCTTGCGATGTGCGAACCAATTACCAATTATCGAACCCTTTCGTGCATATAACATTCCTGGAATTTTTGCTTATGCACTTGCGAGAATCGCAACTGACGCGCTTCCTTGCGTTTCTCCGTTGATGCAGAATGGATATCGGGACTTCGTCGCAGAGTAGGAAGTCCTCAACGCCGGATTTCGATCTAATCATTTTGTCGAAAAACATTTGGGAAGACATTGGACGCT